TAGTACCACGACTGTCCATCTTGGTCTTCGCTCGGCCTGTTCCTCTCTTTCCCTTACGCTGAGATCGTGAACAGCTTCGAGATCCGCGGTTAGACTGAGAAACTGCCTCTGTCTGAGATGGGACTAAATAACCAACAAGGACTTACCTGCACCGCAGCTTCACTTCAACACCAACCATCTGCACCCAATACCTCAACCACCGAGGTCCAGTGAGAAGAGCTGGACACGAATACTTCACGTCACAAAAAGCTGCATAATCGGAGAAGTGAGACCCCATATAGTGGAAATTCTACTTACTTTCAAAATCCTACTTCCTCTTCGACTGATCTCAACGTCCATGTAGGACTCTGAGTGTGCCATTTGTCTAGTCAACAGTGGAGTCACTCGATTGCCAATAAGTGCATGCACAAATGCTTCGTAAGAAGCTTGGGTATTTGTACATGACCGTTTATAGCAAGCGACGACAGTACTCCAGGGCGTGGTGGTTTTCGTCTGGCAAGCGTTCTCCCTATAAAAGGCCACAAAAGTCCGTTTATCAACACTGTGATGCAGCGGATGTGACTCGCCCCTGAATAAAGTCACTGCCCACTATTACACACTGGGATACCGTCTAGTCATTTTCAATATTTTACTGTCATGTACAACTAAGATACTCTCAGGCTTCATCTAATGTCCCCACCACCTACCGTGCTTTTGTATTTGCTCCTCGCACACTTGAAGTCAGGTTGTTGGTACTCCACTGATAACTTTGCTCGTCATGAGTGCTTCGACTGTTTCTGCAAATTTTACAACTTTTGGTCACAGCCAATTAATACGTTGTAACCCCATCTGTTGCGCCACATACTTGCTTGCAACTTTTGCTCCTACCTGAGGTGTTATAGTTCCATGCGTTCGAGAATAAAATGTTTACTTATTTATTTAGTTCTTTCGAGATTCGAAGTCCACGTTGATGGGTGAGGTAAATATGAATTCTCGGCCGGTGGGAATTCAGCTTCTGTGTAGACGTTCGAGCACGACGACTGCCACATATTTGAAGCTAAAGAACTGAGATTAACAGCAGCTACGCTTAATGCTGAGGCTGGGCTTAGGAAAGCGCTCTGCAACGCCGTTTCCAGAAGTTTGAAATAGCCTGAGTCACGTGCAGCTGGGAGACCAATAAAAAATGACATCAACAGTAGGCACCGGAAAATGAAAATGGGTTGAGCTCCGGTTCATCCAAACTGCTAGAGTAGGTAAATGCCAACATTTCACACAATTGCGCACCTTCATCTACACTGTCTTTGCGTATCGAAATTAAATTCCCATTTACTTCTATTGCAAGGGGCCGAACTACGGACTACGCCCTCGGGGTTCACGCTCATGCTGCACTTTATAATGACGTTCAACGGCCGAGTGTCTGCGGCAGGCATCGCCAAATTAATGGTATAAAAATGAGCGTGTTGCGAAGGTAGTGATATGAGTATGATTACAAGAAGTAACCAGCAACAAATAATTCCATATATGAGTGTCTCCAAACCATATTCTCCTGATGCAGCAATAGCATCATTGCCAATTTGAAGGTCGCGGTCTATCGCTTATCCTTTCTCACCATAGTTATAAGGAAATTCCGTTCGTCACATGCACCAAACCTCCTGTATTCTGGAAGGGTGATTTGAGGAAGAAATTAACTGTTTGTTTTTACCCCAGCCCATCCTCGACAAGAGAAAAGGAAAATGAACTCAGCGAACCGCTAATACGAGTTATGAATTCAGCGTCAACATTTGTATTAGTTGCTGACCTAAATCTGCCTCATACTGACTGGGCGCACGCGCTCAATAGCGCAGGTTCTTTAGTGACGGACTTACTGCAGCGAATGCATGAACAACGCCTTCGTGCAGCACGGCAATTTTCTAACTAAAAGATGTGGCGATTGGGTGCCGGCTACCTTAACTGTTGTGATCACTGAAAATGGTCTTTGGCCAACCATTACCTTGGAAACTCCTATCGGTACGAGCGACCGTTCTGTGTTTTCCGCGGCCATTATATGCGGAAGCTAGTTGCTGAATGGCGCTTAACTCGAAAACTAAGCCGGATTAACATAATGTTTTTGTGGGATAGAGCCATGAGCATTAATTGGGTTCCTGGATACCCAGCACCAAATCCGGAAAACAGTCGACTTAATCTCAAAAGCGGTCTAACGTAGTTGCTGGAGGAATTTGTACCCTGGCGCGGAATACTCCACACGAACAAGCGCCGTAGGTAGCAGCAAAAAATCCATAAAGCCTTGCGTCCTGGGGATTCGGTAGATATTTAAGCTTTAAAAATAGCGAATCTAGGTTGTCAACCTGTGGCAACAGTCCTAATATCCTTACTAGCTCGGGCTAGCGCGTCAGGTAAATACGTATCCGGAAGGCCGCTACAGCTACAGGTGGCCGATGTCTTCTTTAAGAAAAGTTGTTGGTAACTTAGTCACCGAAGGTGGTCTGCAGTTTACGAAAGACCTAGGTTAGGGACAAAAGTTACTGCGTGCGTTCCCCAAAGTCCTTCTAACGGACAACGGCTATTTACTATCCTCACCGTCCCAAGGCGCATTTGAAGGCAAAGTCGGGGTACTCGCAGTAGCTGTTTCGAATATCATCGCTATTAGAAAAAATTTAAGTCTATACAAGCTCTCTGACTCTGACAAGTTGCATGCAGACATTGTTAAGCCTATTGCCGATATCCTGCAGCTTTCAGTTATTAAACTGTACAAATGTTTGTTCGTAAAAGAAGGTTACTGCAGGCTTATAAGTGGGCAGTTCTACTGGCTACCCGTTAAAGAGGTTTTACATCTTCGTCCTATAGTTACAGGTCTGTCAGTCTGAGTGGCGTAATTTTAAGTGGCTGAAGAAACTTATCGGCGATCAATTCTGTAGACATCTCATTGCTCATAAATGTTTCGGGGTGGAAGGGTGCGGCTCGGTCAGGAAAAAGACATGCCCCTTTTACCTGCTGTGTTTCCTTGAGGTAAGAATTTAATGTCGTGCTGAAGGGATTTCGGTAGAAGTGGATTATCTTGGTTTCAGTAAAACCTTTGTCTCGGTGAACCACCGCTTTCACCTAGAAATGAGTACCTGGTTTGGACTCCACTCTACGTTGCTTACTTGGCTTACAGAGTTCCTTTACGGTAGGAGGTTTCGTATTGGAGGTTTTATAGTTATTCGAGCACAGGTACTGATTACAGTGGAACGATTAAGGCAAAGCGCGTCTTCCGTTACTGCTGCCCATGATTATAAAGGTGGAGGGCCATGTACTTGCAGTTCCCTATGGCATTTTTTATTTTAAGCCTGTAACCAAGGTATACGGAGCTATACAATGTAAAGATTTGGCGACAATCGTAAGCAATCGGGCTCATGGGTTTTTCCCTTAAAGCGAACAACTTCCAAATATTAGTTCAGATTTGGTACACCGGATTGTCCTCCCCGCAAAGTCCCTGCCACTGCAACGTGCTACCGAGCACGCGGCTTTGGCATCACCGTGACGAATAATTTTAAGTCGTCGGAGTTATTTGTGCAGGTTACTACCTAAGCGTGACAAGGTAGTCCGACTCAGGAGTACGCTAAGTTTTACCAAGCCAGCTCTCTTGCTCCCTTTGTATAAAGCCGAGGTTAGACCACATTTCGATCGCTGTGCTCAGGCCGCAGCCGAAGCATGTCATTGTATTCAGAAGATGCAGAAACTGTTCAGTCGAATAGTAGAGGGACAGCAAGCTTTGCCACAAGCAAAGCGGTTGCTTGACCTAGCGTTTTTCTCCATGAGCATACACAGCATGAGAGGTAGACTAAAGTGGACTCCATAATCATTAAACGGTACCATCTTTCTCAGGATCACTCATACCTTTGAACCAGTTAAGTAGGACCATTTGAGTTGCCAACACCTAGGCTAAACATAAGAGCTAAGTTCTTCTTTATTAGAGTAGTGATTAGCTGCAATAAACTTCTTTCTGTATTGGACAGGCTTCGGTTTTGCTCCATCCAATCCTGACACCCTGGAGCCGGTTTGTCCTCCTTTGTAATTATCAGCTGGGAGAGCTCTCGAGGCTTAGTGTTTAATTGTTTACGCCTTGATCACTACGGCTCTAATATCCGTGGGCAACACTTTGGACAGCGGTAAGGAGTTCAAAGTTTCATTTGGTGTACCCGCTGTGTGATTGAATTGCGACTCGCAAACTCTATTCAGACGGCGGTTCACCAGTGGTACACCTAGTGCAATTTATATTCCTCATCGCTATCCCAAGCGTTGCTCACAATTCTTAGCGCCATAGTGATCAAAGCCTAAGCTTTTAACCACTAGGCATTGAGGTCCTATCTCCATCTGATGCGTCCAAACGAAGACAAAACCGGTCATTGGGTGTCCGGGTTAAAAGTAACAACACCAAAGCACATGTTACTCGGATACGGTCGGCATGACCGTAATAACCGCGGTATACTGCAATGTGCACGGCGGCCTGCGTCGAGATAGGAGTCGCAATCCAACCCCGCAGTGGGTATAGAAAATGCAACTTTGAACTTCTTTACGTATTATCGGAACATAAGAAGGTAGAGGAATATAAAGCCGCGCCGGATGCAAACTTATTAGCTTTGTTCACAGGATTCCCGTGAGAAAACGCAGCAGTCTCCAACCGTATGCAAGTAGCGTATACAACTTCGTGAAATGGTTGTGGTATTTTGCTTTTGCTTCCCTTTCTGCAGCGTAGGCGCAAGAATCAACTATAAGGTCGAGTTGCATAGAAGGCTGTTTGCTTACCAGCACACGAAAAGGGGGCGCTTGCTACTGGAAACCTTGTTTAATCTCTGGGACCCGTTCGGTCCTGTAATATAAATTTTCTCAGTCTTCTACATTCGTGGTGGGGTACTTTTGTTTATGCTATCTGGCTCCGAGGGCTTAGCTAGCCTTTTTCCTCTCTTACAATAGTGGCTAATGGGAAGTTAACTTGGATCTGCAAAGACAGTGCAAGAGAAGGTCGCAGCCTTGTCCCGCCCATGACCTTGATGGTAAGTGTCAGTGTTTGGGTTTGTGTTGAACCGACTGGAACGATGGCCACTAGTGGCAAGGCAAACGGTGTGAATTCAAGATGGCGAAGCTATCCGATTGGCTGCATGGACGTGATTAGAATTGCATAGAGAAGTGTATTTTCTAGTCAGCTTAGCCTGAAAATATGTGTTCGAATGCGCCAATATGACGATTACTATTGGTAACCGTTGGCACAAAAATGAACGATGTCAACAAAAGAGAAGGACGATGAGTTATTATCTGGTAGGTAAAAATGACACAATATCATTGTTCCTTCTTTGGAAAAGGAAGCAACAAGCTGGTATATCTCTGGCAGCTGTGATTAGCTTATTGACAGTCGAAAGTATTGCTGCACTGGTGGGATCCGTTTCGCATGGAGAAGGTTCTGATCGATATTCTAAAAAGCTCTGTGGTCGTATTATGATACATAAAAGGGTTATATAAGTTAGCAGATTACAGGGAAATGTTAAGTAATGAAACTAATACGCCAGCTGTCTGGACACGGATAGATATATCGGTTAAGTGAAGTAGCTTTCACGGAGCTTCTTTTCTGCTCTCTACTACTCAGTGAACTGAAAGATTGATTGCACTAACAGTTAGAAAAGTAACCGTCGCTGTGAT